ATACATCCAGTTTTAACATATGGCTGTAAATCCTGGACAATCGGTAGGCAGGCCAAACAATTTCTAGAGGCCTCAGAGATGTGGTTTTACACAAGAATGCTTAGAATACCTTGGACAGTCAAAAAGAGCAACCAAGAGGTTTTGAAAGAGGCGGAAGTCCGAAGACAAATTATCACAGACATCAGAAGAAGACAGTCGTCATTTTTCGGCCATGTTATGAGAAGAGGGAAAGTAGGACATGTTGTGACCACTGGAAAGATCTGTGAAAGGAGGGATAGAGGAAGACAACGAGAGAAGATGCTTGACAGTCTTGTTGCATGGCATGGAGGTGTGTCCCCACACGAACTGATACATGCTGCAGGAGATCGCAGATTATGGAGAGGCATGATCACCCACGCCAGTCGCAAGGTTCCTGATGATGATGATGATCCATACATTCATTTCCGTGACTGATCTCACATGGGTCAGAAACTGGATTAGATTGTCTGCCTCGGCCATCCAGGAGGAGCCTCTTTGAGATCCACCCCTTTTATATCACTGATAGCGTTGTGCTGTGGGCGGCTGATATCTGCTGATATCCTCATGTACGCTTTTACCTGTGCCACTTTATGTCTGGTGGCCATCGTCGTTAAACCCAGGACAAACCGCATGGCCGTGCACGGAGGTGTCTTTTGTGCAGCAGATTATGAGTCTTATGGCCTTATTTAGTACCCGGTCTGGTCTTTCTAGCTGGTTCTGCTGACACCGAGGAATTCCAGACCACACACAGTCTATAGCACTTAGTATAAGTCCCTCATAGAGCAGGAACAGTAGGCGTTATTTAATGTCGGCGAGCGCCATTGCCTTCGGTGCTGTCAGACCTGTCCTGGCTCTCATTATGACATTATCTACGTGTTTCTTGTTTGACAAACATCTGTCAAAAGTTATGCCGAGGTATCTTATTGTGTTCGTACTATCGATGTCTCTACCGCGCATACACATGACTGGCTCAGGTCTACTGACAATGTGGGTATACACAGAGAACCCTAAATTTGATTTCGCTAATGTATTTATTGTTAAAGTTCTCAGAGTTTTTTTTCCCCCTTCAGTTTTAATTTTGAGAGGGAGAGAGGAAGCACAAATTTACTTAAATATCGGCCGTGGTGCCAAAAGTACTGTTTTGCTCAGCAATGGTCAAACAGTAGCAAACTCTGTACACAAGTACCAACTTCGGCAGCCCTGCTATCTAGTATTTGGGCTTCAACTTCTTCATTCGCCCCTAACATGGTATCTGCGCCATTATGGTCAACACAACCAATTTCACCAAGGCCCCCCCCCCTCTCCCCTATCAGTATTTTACGACACGCTTGTTATCGTGCAGTGGGTCTATTCTTATGCATCGCAAAATAGGACCCTATACCCATCCTGGGAGACCCAGTTGGACGATATTAGGTTCCTTAGCACCCTCATTAAATTCATCATCATCATGCTGTGCCATCCATGGGTCACAAAGGGCTGACAGACTATCCTTCTATTCCGCTCTGAAGCAAAATCTTCAAAATTTTATTCATTGTTTTCTCTGCGCATGCTGCTGAAGATGGGACCGAACACTTATGGAAATTTCCCACGTGCTGTCATGTCGATTTCTACTCAAATCAGTTAGTAGTAGTAATAATAATAATAATAATAATAATAATAATAATAATAATAATAATAATAATAATAATAATAAAAGTTAGTTGCGTATCCTATACAGGACGTTGCAGAACCAACCCCAGCATTTTTTGGCTGTTGTGGTTTATCTTGGTAATTTTTTACGTTCCGTAGTTTGCCATTCCTACTAAACGGTCAGCTCTTGATACCGCAGTCGAAACCAACGCAAGACGAATCGTTCGCAGCTGGGATCGAACGCGGCACCCAGGCATTACGAAGCATGTTCGTAACGCCTAAGCCAGAGACACCAACAATAATATATATATATATATATATATATATATATATATATATATATATATATATATATATATATATATATAAATAGTAATTAAAAACAATAGGGTAACAATAATAAACATAATATATAATCACATACTTTTGCATCCAGGCGCAGTTGGAGAAAATTATGCTGTGTCGATAAATGTAGACATCATGCCTCATTATCCTATACGATCACAAACATCTCGGATTATGTAAGTGTTCTTGTCTCAACTTACCCGTAAGACCAAGACCACAATGTGTTTGTCCTCAGACATACCATCCGCTACCATGTTCTCAAGGCCATTACTTCTACGGGCATGTCCGAAAATTACCGACTGTCCATGTGTAATGTCTCTAATCAGTTTACTGTTTTCATCCGTTTCCAGTCGGGCTGGCCCATTTGTTCTTCTATCACTCCATGATATTGTCTGCATTCTTCTCATAAATGACAACGCTCCTACGAGTAAATGTTTGACAGTGTATCTGCTCTACTTATTGCACATGTCTCACACGTAAATATGAACACAGGTTCTGTATTCACGGCTTCTCTCTCCCAAACTGACAAATTCTTGTCGGAGAGTTTCCTTTCCGTCTTACTAAAGCCACGTTTGCCACGACGAGTTTCATTCAGTGAACTACATCCTCGTATTCCACATTAACAGAGCCACGAGCAAGAAAAAAATCCAGAGAAAATGACGTCATACTTAATCTCAGTGGAAACTCTCTTCTGTTAGAGGTCATCTGACTTTTCCTTCCTGTTCTGGCAAACTAGAGTCCATTCCTGGTTCTCTTTTTGTGATGGTTCGTGTGTAGGTAGGTGTCTAGCTATAAAGTTTAGTATTGGTTCTGTGCCGACTCTCCTCCAGATATTATCGTTTCTAAGTCGATCTTTCTTCGTTACACCTAGCATCGTAGGTAAGCATTTCATTTCTGTGATGAATATTTTCCCTCCGTCTTCTGAAGACAGTTTCCATATTTGACATTGATAGCAGAGCTTTGTTAAATATTAGGTTTTTTTAGTGTTCCTTCTCTCATGTTTGCATTTCAAAGTTGGTGCCAGTTGGCCTGAAACTCAATTGGCTTTATGGCATCTGTTTGATTTCTTTATTTGTTCTTCCGTCTTCTGAAAATCTGCTCCCCACATACGTAAAACTCTCTCTGGCTTTAACTGGTGTTCAGCAGTTTTGATATTAGTTATTATTTTTTTTTCTAGTGAATGTGTCACTCCTGTTTTGTCTACGCTGATCCTCATATCGTTGTTGTCGTTTTCTGAGCGGAGTCTGTTAATATGATCTTCTAGTTGTACTGCTGTAGGTGCCCCTGATAAAACAGATCTGAGTTCGCCCTAGGAAAATATGGATTGAGGACATTACAGAGCTTCTATATCGACACCGAATGACAATTGCCAATGCTGCCCCCCAAGCAATGGATCAAAAACTATTCCTCCCCACGCAACTTAACAGCAGAAGTAAACATTTATGAAGATCTTAGTGATATAATTGAGGATTAAATGGGATATCAGTCGTGATTATACACAGTACATGATGTTGATGTTCTTCAATTCTGTGATAAAAATCTGTGCATTGTTTTCCTTTGCCGCTTTCCTTTACATCTTGCTCTTTGTTACTGTGTACTCTAGCTTTCTCTTTCTGTAGCAGTGTTCAAAGAATTCGGTTTGTCCTGTTGTCAGAGCTGATTTCTTTCATATCTTCACCAATACACTTTGTTTCAATTCATGGTGTTTCGTAATGTTTCTTTTTCACCACTGCTTGTCATCTTCTGTTTAATTTCTCACTAAACAACAAACTGTACATGATTAACCTCTATAATCAAGATTAGCTCTTTATAAACTTAAAAAAAAAACCCTGGCTGGTAAATTGGAGAGCAGCTGTCCTGCATTCGCGTATGGTTGCCCTTCGCCTGGGTACATGGACCTCAGAACCATGTAATATCGCCTGGGTACATAGACCTCAGAGCCATGTAATATCGCCTGGGTACATGGACCTCAGAGCCATGTAATATCGCCCCGGGATTAACCCAGGGTACAGCAATTTCACCTGTGCTCTTTAATATGTACGCAAGCAAGACTGCAGAACTTGAAGTATCAGGTGTTGCATAGATATTGACATTTGCAGATGATGTTCTTGCATATAGGCAGGGAAATTATAGGCATAGGATAACCCAAAAACTATAAAGTGACTGACTAGTGTGCAGAAATGGGTGCCTGTGCTATAGGGAACACGTGCAGGCAGTTGTAGTGAAATGCCAAAAAGAATGCTATTTACAATGTTCCAGCATGTGATCCTGTTGGTGATAGATTATGGACTTGGTATGCTTACCAAATCAAAGAGTCAGCTGATAAAACCGGAACGCTTTCACCAAGCTTTCACACATACAAACAAGCAAACACAAACTCTCTCTCTCTATCTCTCTCTCTCTTTCTCTCTCTCTCTCTCTCTCTCTCTCTCTCTCTCACATACACGATGCATACACATGTCGTAATTATAACAGACTGTGAAGGCATGCTGAGAAAGGTTAAGATAGGGATGCTTCGAGCAGAGTGGCAAGCTTCACGAATAGTGAGCATACTTTGGATCTTTTCTCCATGCAATGCTGGCGTAGTGGGTAATGAACACACACAGATTGGCCTGATCTGCACCGCTTGGTGGTGAATTGATACATGACAAGGCAGATGTGGTCAAGGCCGTTTGGAAACACGCAACGGAATTAGTAGAGAAAGAATATTATTATGGTCCGGAGAGAATGAGGCACCTGGGTGTAATCATAGAGTCTGGCCGGCTCACTACACTCAGAGGATAGGCAAGACGGATATATAACCAGATTGTGACCGGTACCATCAGTACTGGAACTCTGCGCTGGCTGCTGAAAATGAGGACGGAGCACGCATAATAATGCCCCGAGTGCTGTGATGTCAATTCTTGACCCAACTCAACTCAGCTCTCTCACTCTGTCACTACCACTAATATTGATGGCGTCTATGTTTGCCATTTCTAAAGGCCGAGGCACGCTTGTGGAAGAGATCAATGTCAGCTGTGGTCTGGCAAGCAGTGATGATACTGAGCTCTTATGTCCTGCTGGACAGCAGTGTCCAAGGTAAGACTTGTCCTGCTGGACAACAGTGTCCAAGGTAAGACTTGTCCTGCTGGACAGCAGTGTCCAAGGTAAGACTTGTCCTGCTGGACAGGACAACAGTGTCCAAGGTAAGACTTGTCCTGCTGGACAGCAGTGTCCAAGGTAAGACTTGTCCTGCTGGACAGCAGTGTCCAAGGTAAGACTTGTTCTGCTGGACAACAGTGTCCAAGGTAAGACTTGTCCTGCTGGACAACAGTGTCCAAGGTAAGACTTGTCCTGCTGGACAACAGTGTCCAAGGTAAGACTTGTCCTGCTGGTCAGGACAGCAGTGTCCAAGGTAAGACTTGTCCTGCTGGACAACAGTGTCCAAGGTAAGACTTGTCCTGCTGGACAGGACAGCAGTGTCCAAGGTAAGACTTGTCCTGCTGGACAACAGTGTCCAAGGTAAGACTTGTCCTGCTCTACAACAGTGTCCAAGGTAAGACTTGTCCTGCTGGACAACAGTGTCCAAGGTAAGACTTGTCCTGCTGGACAGGACAGCAGTGTCCAAGGTAAGACTTGTCCTGCTGGACAACAGTGTCCAAGGTAAGACTTGTCCTGCTGGACAACAGTGTCCAAGGTAAGACTTGTCCTGCTGGACAACAGTGTCCAAGGTAAGACTTGTCCTGCTGGACAGGACAGCAGTGTCCAAGGTAAGACTTGTCCTGCTGGACAACAGTGTCCAAGGTAAGACTTGTCCTGCTGGACAACAGTGTCCAAGGTAAGATATGTCCTGCTGGACAGCAGTGGCCAAGGTAAGACTTGCGCCCAGGCGACATTTAGGGCAGTGATGTCCTGATACAGTCATATTCTTGACACACGCATTCCCGCAGATACTCTTTACTCTTGATATTCGTTTACAGTAGAAATAATAAACAAATAGACATGTTTTAATAGGCTCTCATAAAAAGATGTAGAAAGATTAAAGGAAACACAAGACAACATAACAATCGGAAGCTTATCTGTCACACCCAAATGGCGACAGCGCATCGTTGGAGGACAAGTGTACAAACATACATGATCAACTAGACGCCTCTTAAAAAAGGCAACTTCATTAGCCATGTGATAAAAGCGACGATTTAGTGAGACCCTGATTAGAGCGACGATTTAGTGAGACCGTGATAAGAGCGACAATTTAGTGTGACCGTGATGAGAGCGACGATTTAGTGTGACCGTGATGAGAGCGACAGTTTAGTGTGACCGTGATGAGAGCGACAGTTTAGTGTGACCGTGATGAGAGCGACGATTTCTTGTGACCGTAATGGGAGCGACGATTTAGTGAGACCGTGATAAAAGCGACAATTTAGTGTGACCGTGATGGGAGCGACGATTTAGTGTGACCGTGATGGGAGCGACGATTTAGTGAGACCGTGATGGGAGCGACGATTTAGTGAGACCATGATGAGAGCGACGATTCAGGTAGACCGTGAGGGTAGCCATTTTCTGAAAACGAAATGATGCCATGTTCATCTTGCGGTTAGGTCGGAGTCTAAGGCTTCAAGCATATGAAGTTAAGGAAGTTTGTTTTCCCAAGGCGACCTGTGAGGACATGATCTTTCTATATATGGCTTACTACATAAAAATAATGCCCAGTTTTATAGATCCGGGGGAGAGAGGGAAGACAGGGTATATCCTGAGGTAACCAACATCAGTTTTGCGTGACGATTTCTGTCTTATTTCACGAGCCATTACTTTGACCCACCCAGTAGTTTTATGTACAAACAATGCCAGCATTTCACGTGGTGTCAGCACGAGAACGCTCTAATAAATACAGTCATGTCATTGGCCAGGTTGTAGCCCCGGCTGGTTCGGACAACACTGCGATTTTCAGTGCAATTGCAACGTGTCGTTATCCTGTGGGTCACAGGGAGACTGCCCGCCAAACGAACGCTGCAAGTTGGGATTTTTCGGACCAGGCTGTCAGTACGGTCAGTACATTTGTAATGACATCAGCTGTGGTCTTGTGACGTCTTGTTGGGTGTCAGTACATGTGTAATGACATCAGCTGTATAGACACCAACACAGACATGTATAGACACCAACACAGACATGTATAGACACCAACACAGACATGTATAGACACCAACACAGACATGTATAGACACCAACACAGACATGTACAGACACCAACACAGACATATACAGACACCAACACAGACATGTACAGACACCAACACAGACATGTATAGACACCCACACAGACATGTATAGACACCCACACAGACATGTATAGACACCAACACAGACATGTATAGACACCAACACAGACATGTACAGACACCCACACAGACATGTACAGACACCCACACAGACATGTATAGACACCCACACAGACATGTATAGACACCAACACAGACATGTATAGACACCAACACAGACATGTATAGACACCAACACAGACATGTACAGACACCAACACAGACATGTATAGACACCAACACAGACATGTATAGACACCAACACAGACATGTATAGACACCAACACAGACATGTACAGACACCAACACAGACATGTACAGACACCCACACAGACATGTATAGACACCAACACAGACATGTATAGACACCAACACAGACATGTACAGACACCCACACAGACATGTACAGACACCCACACAGACATGTATAGACACCCACACAGACATGTATAGACACCAACACAGACATGTACAGACACCAACACAGACATGTATAGACACCCACACAGACATGTACAGACACCAACACAGACATATAGACATACGTAACAAATACACACACGCATCTAATACATTCACAAAAATATAACACATGCGCATACATAGACATAAATGCACAAACAGAAAACACACACACATACATTTATGGATATACATGCACACACACATTCCATACATACACACATAAGCATGCATCCATGCATACACACATATACAATCACACGTACAGACACCCACACAGACATGTACAGACACCCACACAGACATGTACAGACACCCACACAGACATGTATAGACACCAACACAGACATGTATAGACACCAACACAGACATGTATAGACACCAACACAGACATGTATAGACACCAACACAGACATGTACAGACACCAACACAGAAATGTACAGACACCAACACAGACATGTATAGACACCAACACACACATGTATAGACACCAACACAGACATGTATAGACACCAACACAGACATGTATAGACACCAACACAGACATGTATAGACACCAACACAGACATGTATAGACACCAACACAGACATGTATAGACACCAACACAGACATGTATAGACACCAACACAGACATGTATAGACACCCACACAGACATGTATAGACACCAACACAGACATGTATAGACACCAACACAGACATGTATAGACACCAACACAGACATGTATAGACACCAACACAGACATGTATAGACACCAACACAGACATGTATAGACACCCACACAGACATGTATAGACACCCACACAGACATGTATAGACACCAACACAGACATGTATAGACACCAACACAGACATGTATAGACACCAACACAGACATGTATAGACACCAACACAGACATGTATAGACACCAACACAGACATGTATAGACACCAACACAGACATGTATAGACACCAACACAGACATGTATAGACACCAACACAGACATGTATAGACACCAACACAGACATGTATAGACACCAACACAGACATGTATAGACACCAACACAGACATGTATAGACACCAACACAGACATGTATAGACACCAACACAGACATGTATAGACACCAACACAGACATGTATAGACACCAACACAGACATGTACAGACACCAACACAGACATGTACAGACACCCACACAGACATGTACAGACACCCACACAGACATGTACAGACACCAACACAGACATGTACAGACACCCACACAGACATGTACAGACACCCACACAGACATGTATAGACACCAACACAGACATGTACAGACACCAACACAGACATGTACAGACACCAACACAGACATGTACAGACACCAACACAGACATGTATAGACACCAACACAGACATGTATAGACACCAACACAGACATGTATAGACACCAACACAGACATGTATAGACACCAACACAGACATGTATAGACACCAACACAGACATGTATAGACACCAACACAGACATGTACAGACACCAACACAGACATGTACAGACACCAACACAGACATGTACAGACACCAACACAGACATGTATAGACACCAACACAGACATGTATAGACACCAACACAGACATGTATAGACACCAACACAGACATGTATAGACACCCACACAGACATGTATAGACACCCACACAGACATGTAGAGACACCAACACAGACATGTACAGACACCCACACAGACATGTACAGACACCCACACAGACATGTATAGACACCAACACAGACATGTATAGACACCCACACAGACATGTACAGACACCCACACAGACATGTATAGACACCAACACAGACATGTATAGACACCAACACAGACATGTATAGACACCAACACAGACATGTACAGACACCAACACAGACATGTACAGACACCAACACAGACATGTACAGACACCAACACAGACATGTATAGACACCAACACAGACATGTACAGACACCCACACAGACATGTATAGACACCAACACAGACATGTATAGACACTAACACAGACATGTATAGACACCAACACAGACATGTACAGACACCAACACAGACATGTACAGACACCAACACAGACATGTACAGACACCAACACAGACATGTACAGACACCCACACAGACATGTATAGACACCAACACAGACATGTATAGACACCAACACAGACATGTATAGACACCCACACAGACATGTACAGACACCCACACAGACATGTACAGACACCCACACAGACATGTATAGACACCAACACAGACATGTACAGACACCCACACAGACATGTATAGACACCAACACAGACATGTATAGACACCCACACAGACATGTACAGACACCCACACAGACATGTACAGACACCCACACAGACATGTACAGACACCAACACAGACATGTACAGACACCCACACAGACATGTACAGACACCCACACAGACATGTACAGACACCCACACAGACATGTATAGACACCCACACAGACATGTACAGACACCCACACAGACATGTACAGACACCCACACAGACATGTACAGACACCCACACAGACATGTATAGACACCAACACAGACATGTATAGACACCCACACAGACATGTATAGACACCAACACAGACATGTATAGACACCAACACAGACATGTATAGACACCAACACAGACATGTACAGACACCCACACAGACATGTACAGACACCCACACAGACATGTACAGACACCCACACAGACATGTACAGACACCCACATAGACATGTACAGACACCCACACAGACATGTACAGACACCCACACAGACATGTACAGACACCCACACAGACATGTATAGACACCCACACAGACATGTACAGACACCCACACAGACATGTACAGACACCCACACAGACATGTACAGACACCAACACAGACATGTATAGACACCAACACAGACATGTACAGACACCAACACAGACATGTATAGACACCAACACAGACATGTATAGACACCAACACAGACATGTATAGACACCAACACAGACATGTACAGACACCAACACAGACATGTACAGACACCCACACAGACATGTATAGACACCAACACAGACATGTATAGACACCAACACAGACATGTATAGACACCAACACAGACATGTACAGACACCAACACAGACATGTACAGACACCAACACAGACATGTACAGACACCAACACAGACATGTACAGACACCAACACAGACATGTATAGACACCCACACAGACATGTACAGACACCAACACAGACATATAGACATACGTAACAAATACACACACGCATCTAATACATTCACAAAAATATAACACATGCGCATACATAGACATAAATGCACAAACAGAAAACACACACACATACATTTATGGATATACATGCACACACACATTCCATACATACACACATAAGCATGCATCCATGCATACACACATATACAATCACACGTACAGACACCCACACAGACATGTACAGACACCCACACAGACATGTACAGACACCCACACAGACATGTATAGACACCAACACAGACATGTATAGACACCAACACAGACATGTATAGACACCAACACAGACATGTATAGACACCAACACAGACATGTACAGACACCAACACAGAAATGTACAGACACCAACACAGACATGTATAGACACCAACACAGACATGTACAGACACCAACACAGACATGTACAGACACCAACACAGACATGTACAGACACCAACACAGACATGTATAGACACCAACACAGACATGTACAGACACCCACATAGACATGTACAGACACCCACACAGACATGTACAGACACCCACACAGACATGTACAGACACCCACACAGACATGTATAGACACCCACACAGACATGTACAGACACCCACACAGACATGTACAGACACCCACACAGACATGTACAGACACCCACACAGACATGTATAGACACCTACACAGACATGTATAGACACCAACACAGACATGTATAGACACCAACACAGACATGTATAGACACCAACACAGACATGTATAGACACCAACACAGACATGTAGAGACACCAACACTGACATGTACAGACACCCACACTGACATGTACAGACACCCACACTGACATGTATAGGCACCCACACAGACATGTATAGGCACCCACACAGACATGTACAGACACCAACACAGACATGTACAGACACCAACACAGACATGTACAGACACCAACACATACATGTATAGACACTAACACAGACATGTATAGACACTAACACAGACATGTATAGACACCAACACAGACATGTATAGACACCAACACAGACATGTATAGACACCAACACAGACATGTACAGACACCAACACAGACATGTACAGACACCAACACAGACATGTACAGACACCAACACAGACATGTACAGACACCCACACAGACATGTATAGACACCAACACAGACATGTATAGACACCAACACAGACATGTATAGACACCAACACAGACATGTACAGACACTCACACAGACATGTACAGACACCCACACAGACATGTATAGACACCAACACAGACATGTATAGACACCAACACAGACATGTACAGACACCCACACCGACATGTATAGACACCAACACAGACATGTACAGACACCCACACAGACATGTACAGACACCCACACAGACATGTACAGACACCCACACAGACATGTACAGACACCAACACAGACATGTACAGACACCCACACAGACATGTACAGACACCCACACAGACATGTACAGACACCCACACAGACATGTATAGACACCCACACAGACATGTACAGACACCCACACAGACATGTACAGACACCCACACAGACATGTACAGACACCCACACAGACATGTATAGACACCAACACAGACATGTATAGACACCCACACAGACATGTATAGACACCAACACAGACATGTATAGACACCAACACAGACATGTATAGACACCAACACAGACATGTACAGACACCCACACAGACATGTACAGACACCCACACAGACATGTGCAGACACCCACACAGACATGTACAGACACCCACACAGACATGTACAGACACCCACACAGACATGTACAGACACCCACACAGACATGTATAGACACCCACACAGACATGTACAGACACCCACACAGACATGTACAGACACCCACACAGACATGTACAGACACCCACACAGACATGTACAGACACCCACACAGACATGTACAGACACCCACACAGACATGTATAGACACCAACACAGACATGTATAGACACCAACACAGACATGTATAGACACCAACACAGACATGTATAGACACCAACACAGACATGTATAGACACCAACACAGACATGTATAGACACCAACACAGACATGTATAGACACCAACACAGACATGTATAGACACCAACACAGACATGTATAGACACCAACACAGACATGTATAGACACCCACACAGACATGTATAGACACCCACACAGACATGTATAGACACCAACACAGACATGTATAGACACCAACACAGACATGTATAGACACCCACACAGACATGTATAGACACCAACACAGACATGTATAGACACCAACACAGACATGTATAGACACCAACACAGACATGTATAGACACCAACACAGACATGTATAGACACCAACACAGACATGTATAGACACCCACACAGACATGTATAGACACCAACACAGACATGTACAGACACCAACAAGAGAAACATTCAGAACATTGTTACGAGAGACCTGCATGTTCTGGCCCGAACTCCACGTCAGAAATCGAGGGAGGTGCGTGCGATAGAGCGGAGTAGAGGAATGCGAGCACTATGTGAAATCTGATGGCACACACAGGATGATGATGGAAGGAGGTAATTGGGCCCGCGTGGGGAATATCCTCAGCAGGGCGGCTGCATATAAAGATAACAACGGTGCGTGACGCTCAGCTCGCATACACATTCTCTAGGAGAGCTCAAAGTGTGATGGGCTTAAGGGGCATACGCATTGTTTAAGACCGTAATAGTAATATTTCTTTTCTTTAAAAATAATTTTGGCTCTCATGTTGACGCAGCCTAACAGGGATACCAGATAAAGTCCTAGGAAGTAAAGGTGGCCGGCCTTGTGTGACCACATCACCAGCCGAGTGCCGGTTGGTCTGAAATATTGGTCTTGTATGATATACGTCATTTACCGCTAGCGTGATCAGGTTCCCTCAATTCACTTTTGTCACAAAAACAATAAAATAATGCTAATAGTAATAATAATAATAATAATAATAATAATAATAGTAATACTAACAACAGCAACAACAACAATAATGGTAATAATAATGTGCTGCATAGTAAATTAACCTAGTAATTAAAAATACATTAAAAATAATATATCTATAACAGATACTGTACAACAGAACTTCTATACAGGTCTGGTGAAGAGAAGAAATATGGGGAGGGGGGGGGGGGAACCAAAACCCCAATAATTCTATAATTCAATAATAGTTCAAGTGGTTTTGAGCCTGCATGTTCAGGTGCCGCTGGTCCTTAGTGCAATGATGTCGATTCTTGAGTAATTCATTTCTTCATTCTTTCATCCGCACCAACAACTTGTAATTGCTGCCGTCGGCTCCATACCCCAGACCACCCTTCTCAGAATTACCTCAACATGTGATCTTTCAAACTGAAACACAATGAGCCACTGCATATTCCACATTATATTTCTTTTACCAAGGGGTTCCGCCATCTCTCCATCCATTAAGAAACTTGCCAGGGGACTTTGTGCTCCCTTCTTGCCTGCCCAGCATGTATCAGTTTTCTCTTTGTTAGTATTTTTTTAAACATAATTTCAGATATATTATTTTATCCATTTGACATTCAGCACATAATATACAAATAAAATCAGTAATACATGTTGCGCATTGAAAGACTTGGAACGAGACTAGAATACAATCGAAAACACATGTCTGTGAAAAATGACGATCACAAGGTGGAATGTATTAAAGTGTAGTGAAGACATTACCGAAATGTCTGGGCAGCCACTACTGTCAATAGTCACAAGACAGACAAGATGGCGCTGTACTGGATAATTTGAGGAATCGAGAATTAACAAACAGACACTGAAATGGGAATTAAATAGAACCAGGAAACCAGGACATCCAAGAGACTACCTGAGGAGAACGGTGATGAAAGAGGCCAAAGCTGCTGGACGGGAATCCATCCATAATATTGAAGTGATTGTACGGGATAAAAAGGAATGGAGGAAAAGACTTGGAGCTCTCTGTGCACAACAGGACGGACAATCACTCACTGACGCATTCACACAGGGCTTAGGCCACAAACGACCCTCACTAGAAGAATTATAATGTGTCTGAGGGCCCCCCCCCGCCCCCCCCACCCCCGCCTCTCACAAATGTCTTCTTTGCGTCCGCCAAAAATAATAAAAATAGTATAAAACTGACATAGTTTCCTACATGTCAACGCACGTCCCAGCACACAGAAGTGTAACCGAATACAGTTATACTTACACTTTCAGTGGACTTGGCTGCAAGATCGTCCGGCGCTTCCAGCCCTCCGTACTTGTTCGACAATGACGAGACAAGTTGCAACCCGGACAGCCAGGCAACATCGGTTCTTTATGCCCTTACACATGGCACGCCAGTGTCCTGGTTTCGGATCTACTCCCGCTACAACCGTAAGTGCCTACAAACTCTTCTCTCTCATAGTCTGGGAACTCAAACAGGGCCACAATACTCTTCTCTCTAATAGTCTGCGATAAAATCACCACGACAAGTGATCATTGACAATCACATGATACAGTCACCACGACAAGTGATCATTGACAATCACGAGATACAATCACCACGACAAGTGATCATTGACAATCACAGGATACAGTCACCACGACAAGTGATCATTGACAAGCACATAAAACAATCACCATGACAGGTGATCATTGACAAGCACATGATACAATTACCACGACAAGTGATCGTTGACAAGCAAACATTCCTCCTTCTCTCTTTGCCACGAATAAAAGAATATTTATAATAATGATCATATTAGTCGCATAGTCTCTATAGAACGAACCTACGCATTGTTTGACTACAGTTTTTTAAATCTAATATTTAATTCAGTAGTTTGCCATAGCCACTAAACGGTCGGTTGTCGATTGTCGAAATCAACTCAAAATGATCCGCTGCTAGATGATTTATTGCATGTTTGATAATTGTATGCTCCTGTTGACACGAGCCTAAGCTGCAGAGTTCGTGTACGGAGCGCAGATTCTCCCAGTTTGTTGAATCACGTGCGGAGATGACTCTACAATGGAAGTAATTCGTTTGAAAGAAAAGCAAACTCAAGGGTTGTTTCCCTTCTGCTCTCTTTTGTGCTCTCAGTACATCTCTCCCCTCTATCTTCACATCTCGCTCTCTCCCTCCGTCTCCATCTCCCTCCATCTCTCTTCCTGCGTCTATCTCTCTCTCCTTTCGTCTCTCTTTCTCCGCCTCTCGCTTCCCCTCCATCTGTCTTCCTGCGTCTTCCTCTCCCTCTTTTCTCTCTTTTTCTCTCTCCCCTTCTCCCTCTATCTATCTCTCCCTCTTTCCCGCGGTCTCTCTCTCCCTCCCTATCACTTTCCCTCCCTCCATATTTGTCTTTCTACACCTTCTTTTCCCTCTTACTCACTCTTTCTTTCCATCTCTCTCTGTCTCTCTCTCCCTCCGTCTCTTTCTCCGTCTCTCTCGCCTTCCCTCTATCCCTTTCTCCATGTCTCTCACTCTCTCTCCTTTCCTATCCCTCTCTCCCCCTGTATCGCTTCTCCTCCGTCTGTCTTCCTTCGTCTTCCTCTCCCTTTTTTCTCATTATATCTCTCCCTTTCTCCCTCTATCTGCTTCTATCTCTCCCTCTTTCCCACGGTCTCTCCCTCCCTCCGTATTTCTTTCCCACCCTCCGTCTTTGTATGTCTACGCCTTCTTTTCCCTCTTCTCTCACTCTTTCTTTCCGTCTCTCTCCGTCTTCCCTCCCTGTCTGTATCTCTCCTTCTCTTTTTCTTCCCATGGTCTTTAGCTCACTCCATCTCTCTCCGTCTCTCTCTCCCTCTGTCTCTTCCTCCGTCTCTCTCGCCTTCCCTCTATCACTTCCTCCGTCTCTCTTACTCCCTCTCCTTTCCTATCCATCTCTCCCCTGTCTCATTCTCTCCCCCTCAGTCTCCCTTTCCCTCCATCTCTCTCTCCCTCCATCTCTCTCCCTCTCCCTCTCTTCCAATGTCTCTCTCCCTCTGTCTTTCTCTCTCCGTCTCTCTCTTCCCCGTCTCTCTCCCTCCCTCCTCATCTACTCACTCCATTTCTCTATCTTTGTCTCTCTCTCTCTCTCTCTTTCCCCCTCAGTCTTTTTCACTCTTCGTTTCTCTCCCTCCGTCTCTCTCCCTCTCTCTCTCTGCCTCCGTCTCTCTTCCTCCATCTCTCTCTCCCTATCTCTCTGCCCCAATCTCTCCGTCTCTTTTCCTGCGTCTTTCCATCTCTGCATCTCTCTCCCTCTCTCGTACGTATGTCTGTATATATATATATATATATATATATATATATATATATATATATATATATATATATATATATATGATGTATGTTTGTATGTGTGCATGGATAGATGGATTTAAAAATAGATGATGGATAAATCGATAGGTTTGTATGTATGTGTGCATGTATGTATGTATGTTTGTGTAAGTGAGGGAGGAGGAGCCAGTGAATGGTAAATGCATGATTGAGCGTGTTTGAGCCTGCGCATGCATTTACTATACACTTCTTCTTCTGCATTCCAAGCCCTTGAGGTTCACTGCTGCAGATATCACCCGCCTCCATTCATCTTTCTGGTTGGCCTTCTCTTTCCAATTGGTGACACCACGTGTTTGCAGGTCTGTCTGGACAATATCTCTCCATCGCTTTCTTGAACTACCTCGTGGTCTATGACCATTCATCTCCCTTGTGTATACAGTTTGTAACTTCTCTGTCATCTGACACTCTTCAATATTTGCAACCATTTCAGTTTGTTAGCTCTCATGATGCCAGTGATAGGTGGTGATTTAAACAGATTATCAATTTAGTTGTTGCTTTTCACTCTCTATTCCCCGCTGTTTGCATCTTTGCAACCATTTCAGTTTGTTAGCTCTCATGATGCCAGTGATAGGTGGTGATTTAAACAGATTATCAATTTAGTTGTTGCTTTTCACTCTCCATTCCCCGCTGTTTGCATCTTTGATGGTTCCAAAGATTAGTCATAATACTCTGTTTTCGAAAACCTGTGATAAGACTTCATCTCTTTTAGCTGTGTTCCAAGTTTCAGACCCATATAAAACGACTGGTCTTATCAAAGTTTTATATATTTTGTTCTTAGTGTTGCGAGACAGACACTTTGACTTTAGCAGATGTTGAAGGGCATAGTGTTTTATTTCTAGATTGTATTCTAGATTGTATTTCTTCTCTCAGCATGTTGGAGCAGTTGAAGTTTGCACCCAAGTACTTATATGTTTCCGTTCGCTTGATATTCATAATATCGACTTGTATGTGTTTATATCATTTCCCTGTCTAGTTATTATCATGCATTCTGTCTTACCTTGATTGAAAACTAGTCCCAATTTCTAAGCTGATTCGTTTAAGACAGTCAGTGTTTTAACAGTCTCTAGTTCATTTTCTCCAACGATATCAATGTCATCAGCATATCCAAGTATTCTGGTAGTTTCTCCTATAGTACACTCTTGTTTCAATTTTCTTATAATTTTCTCCAGAACCAAGTTGAATAGAAGTGGGGACAGAGCATCACCTTGCTTTAAACCAGATGTTATTTGAAAAGGGTCTGACTTTGTGCCTCTATATATTAATATATTGCAAGTGTCTTCCATACATATTTTGGCCATGGTAATTACCTTTTTTAGAAAAGCAATAAATCTTCTTAAGGAAGGAAAGGCGTCAGGCCCAGATGGTATCCCAGCTGAAGCCATCATGACCAACATAAACACATCAACAGAATTGCTACATAGATTATTCAGTAAAGTCTGGGAGACCGAAGAAATACCAGCAGACTGGAGAGAAGGATATCTTGTGAAACTGCCCAAAAAAGGTGATCTACAGGAGTGTGAAAACTATAGAGGAATTATGTTGCTGTCAGTTCCTGGAAAAATATTAAGTAGAATTATTTTGGAAAGATCAAAAGATGCTATTGATAAAATGCTAAGAGATGAGCAGGCAGGTTTTCGGTCCAACAGATCCTGTACTGATCAGATAGCCACATTACGTATTATAATAGAGCAAAGCATTGAACTGAACTCACCACTTTACATTGGATTTATAGACAATGAAAAAAGCATTTGACAGCATTGATAGGGAATCTCTCTGGAAATTGAGGGGGCACTATGGAATCCCACAGAAAATTATCAACTTAATAAAGGCAACATGTAAAGACATGAAATGTCGAGTTCTTCATGAGGGAAAGCTAACAGATGCATTTGAAATAAAAACAGGTGTGCGACAGGGATGTCTTTTGTCGCCCCTCTTATTTTTACTGGCTATAGACTGGACTATGAAAACAGTAACTGCTAACACCAAGAATGGAATTCAGTGGACCCCTACAAAACAGCTTGATGATCTGAACTTCGCTGATGATATTGCCCTTCTGTCCCATTCACGGAATCAGATACAAGATAAATTAAATATACGTAATGTGAGATCAAAGCAGCTTGGTCTGAAAATCCATAAAGGAAAGACAAAGATAATGAGAATAAATCAGGCAAATAGTAATGTGGTTTCTCTTAATGGCACCCCACTCCAAGACGTGGAGTCGTACACCTATTTAGGCAGTAATGTAGATAAAGATGGAGGAACTGATAGAGATATTAAAATAAGAATACAAAAGGCAAGATGGGCTTTCATAGCACTAGGGAATTTGTGGAGGTCAAAAGAAATTAAAAGAAATACTAAACTAAATATTTTTAATTCTAATGTCAAATCAGTACTATTGTATGGGGCGGAAACATGGAGAACAACGAAGGCAATTACTAATAAATTACAGACATTCATTAACTGGTGCCTGCGCAGAATAGAGGGAATAAAATGGTATGATAGAATAACTAATGTAGAACTTTGGGAGAGAACTAAACAGGCTCCAGTGGATCAGGAGGTGAGGAAAAGACGCTGGCGTTGGATAGGGCACACACTGAGAAAACAGGAGAACAGCATAACTAGAATGTCTTTGCATTGGAACCCACAGGGGCATAGGAATAAAGGAAGGCCAAAAAACACATGGAGAAGAGAGCTACAGAATGAGGTTAGAAAGATTGGGAGGACATGGGAAGAGCTCCATGCAATGGCGAAGAATAGAACGACTTGGCGTGAGTTGGTTGAGGGCCTATGCTCCATTGGGGGATAGAAAGGCAGAAGAAGAAGAATTACCTTTTTCGGTGTTCCAGAGTCCTTTATAGCATTCAATAAACTGTTGCAATGTGCACTATCATACGCCTCTATACCATATACGCTTTTGTGTTTCCCCCTTGATCTTCATATTAGGCACATTGTTAACATGTTTTATTGACAAAATACAACTGTTGTTCTGTGTAAAATGCATGCTTGGAAGGGTCCAATGTAAGACAGGCCTGCGTGCCTAATTTGTAACCCTTTGAAAAAAAAAGTTCGTTCATTCGTTCCCCCTCCCCCCTTTTTATTTCGCTTAAGGTCTCCATGTCTCTTTGTATTCTTTACTGATTTTACATCTTTTTTCCCCTCTATGTCTGTCTGCTTGTCTCTCAGTTTCTCTAGGTCCATCTTTCTCTTCCACAGCGTCTTTCTGCGACTCGCTCTGTACCACTATCTCCGTCTCTGTTTGTCTCTCTTCTGATAACCACCACCCTCCACCCACTCAGCCCCCCACACACACACCAACACACACACCAACACACACACACACACACACTGTATAAAGATATCATATAATACAAAACTTCTAACAAACACACACACACACACACACACACACACACACACACACTGTATAAAGATATTAACCCATACAAAACTACCGACACACACATACATCCACACACACACACACACACACACACACACACACACACACACACACACCGTATGAATAGTATGAGAGATAAATAGCTCACACGGACATGTCTCCCACACCAGCAAGACAGTACAGCTTCACGTAAACACACACACCGTGTGAATAGTATGAGAGATAAATAGCTCACACGGACATGTCTCCCACACCAGCAAGACAGTACAGCTTCCACGTGAAGATCAATGGGTTCGGGCCTTACGACGACGAGAGACAGTACCTGGTCAACCAGCACGTGGTGGACGTCATGTGGGGCGAGGTCTATGAGATCAAGGACATAACCATCGTTGGGAACATCGCTCCAACCATCTGTTCCATCCAGATCACCACAGGTTAGAAGCGCTCTGTTCTATCACCACAGGTCTCTGTTCTATCACCACAGGTCTCTGTTCCATCACCACAGGTCTCTGTTCCATCGCCACAGGTCTCTGTTCCATCACCACAGGTCTCTATTCCAACACCACAGGTCTCTGTTCTATCACCACAGGTCTCTGTTCCATCACCACAGGTCTCTGTTCCAACACCACAGGTCTCTATTCCAACACCACAGGTCTCTATTCCAACACCACAGGTCTCTATTCCAACACCACAGGTCTCTATTCCAACACCACAGGTCTCTATTCCATCACCACAGGTCTCTATTCCATCACCACAGGTCTCTATTCCATCACCAAAGGTTAGAAGCGCTCTGTTCCATAACCACAGGTCTCTGTTCTATCACCACAGGTCTCTATTCCATCACCACAGGTCTCTGTTCTATCACCACAGGTCTCTATTCCATCACCACAGGTCTCTGTTCCAACACCACAGGTCTCTGTTCCAACACCACAGGTCTCTTTTTTAACCCCACCGGTTAGAAGTCCTCTTTTCCATCACCACAGGTTAGAATTAGATAATTCAGGATAGGTAGATTAGAAAAGCTAGTTTCCTGACAGATTAATCATCATCATTTTTCAACACTACTTGTCGTTGAGTCACCAGTTACTGTTGACTTTCCGATCAGCTCTCTCCAGCTTTGGCGGTCAGTTGCAATGTACTTTGTGGCTGCATGCCTGAGGCCTGTCCAGTCAGACAACTTCTGTAACCAGGTCTTTCTTGGTCTGCCTCTTCTCCTCTTTCCCTCTTCTGCACCCTGCAGTATTATTTTTGAGAGGCCGTTAGATCTTATTACATGTCCATACAATTGTATTGTTAGCCTTGTCACTGTAGTTAAAATAGGTTTAAAGTTTCCAATGTGCTGTTTAATTTTAAGGCGAACCTCTTCGTTTGTAATGTGGTCTCTGTATGATATGCAAATAATTATCTGAAACACTGCATTTTTAATGCTTGTATATTTTCTTCAAGTTCCAAGATTAGTTGTTTAAGGACCACGTGACACAGCCATATGTACATGTACTAATAGCTAGAACTCTGTGCCATCGAATCTTAGTTTTGCATTAAATGCATGTGGATCTCCATGTTTGCTGCTTGGCAAGGACTGATGTTGTCTGGGCGATCCTAGATGTTGGCTTGTGCGATCACGGGACAGCGGCAGGCTACTAATTTTCGCTTGTCACCCTCTCTTCGGAGAACTAGCCACCCACAACAATGCTAGCAGGGATGAATAAAATAGTGAAAATAATAATATTCAGTCATGACTGGAAACTTTTCAACAATTTTTCAAATAAGAAACATACAGCTAGAATGTCCGATGAGCGACGAAAATGATATTTTATTAAACAACGAACATTAAACAACGAACAGTGAACAATGAACAGTGAACAATGAACAGTGAACAATGAACAGTAAACAATGAACAGTGAACAATGAATAGTGAACAATGAACAGTGAACAATGAATAGTGAACAATGAACAGTGAACAATGAACAGTGAACAATGAACAGTGAACAACGAAAAGTGAACAATGAACAGTGAACAATGAACAGTGAACAATGAACAGTGAACAATGAACAGTAAACAATGAACAGTGAACAATGAATAGTGAACAATGAACAGTAAACAATGAACAGTGAACAATGAACAGTGAACAATGAATAGTGAACAATGAACAGTAAACAATGAGCAGTGAACAATGAACAGTGAACAATGAACGGTGAACAATGAACAGTGAACAATGAACAGTGAACAATGAACAGTGAACAATGAATAGTGAACAATGAACAGTGAACAATGAACAGTGAACAATGAACAGAGAACAATGAACAGTGAACAATGAACAGTAAACAATGAACAGTGAACAATGAACAGTAAACAATGAACAGTGAACAATGAACAGTGAACAATGAACAGTGAACAGTTAACAGTGAACAATGAACAGTGAACAATGAACAGTAAACAATGAACAGTGAACAACGAAAAGTGAACAATGAACAGTGAACAATGAACAGTGAACGATGAACAGTGAACAATGAACAGTGAACAATGAACAGTGAACAATGAACAGTAAACAATGAACAGTGAACAATAAATAGTGAACAATTAACAGTGAACAATGAATAGTGAACAATGAACAGTGAACAATGAACAGTAAACAATGAACAGTGAACAATGAATAGTGAACAATGAACAGTGAACAATGAACAGTGAACAATGAATAGTGAACAATGAATAGTGAACAATGAACGGTGAACAATGAACAGTGAGCAATGAACAGTGAACAATGAATAGTGAACAATGAACAGTGAACAATGAACAGTGAACAATGAACAGTGAACAATGAACAGTGAACAATGAACAGTGAACAATGAACAGTGAACAATGAACAGTGAACAATGAACAGTGAACAATGAACAGTGAACAGTGAACAGTGAACAGTGAACAATGAATAGTGAACAATGAATAGTTAACAATGAACAATGAACAGTGAACAATGAACAGTGAACAATGAACAGTGAACAATGAACAGTGAACAATGAACAGTGAACACTGAACAGTGAACAAAGAAAAGTGAAAAATGAACAGTGAACAATGAACAGTGAACTATGAACAGTGAACAATGAACAGTGAACAATGAACAGTGAACAATGAATAGTGAAGAACGATAAGTGAACAACAAACAGTGAACAACTAACAGTGAACAAGAAACAGTGAACAATGAACAGTGAACAATGAACACTGAACAATGAACAGTGAACAACGATAAGTGAACAACAAACAGTGAACAACAAACAGTGAACAAGAAACAGTGAACAACAAACAGTGAACAACTAACAGTGAACAATGAAAAGTGAACAACGAACAGTGAACAATGAACAGTGAACAACGAACAGTGAACAACGAAAAGTGAAGAATGAACAGTGAACAGTGAACAATGAACAGTGAACAATGAACAGTGAACAATGAACAGTTAACAATGAACAGTGAACAACGAACAGTGAACAATGAACAGTGAACAATGAATAGTGAACAATGTACAACGAACAGTGAACAGTGAACAATGAACAGTGAACAAGCTGTAACTAGAAAACTCATCAGAAGAAATGCAAAACATGCACACAGATACAACCGAACGTTTCGACTAAAAACTTTCTCAACGGTGCACTAAATGCAAGACAAACTAAAAACCGGACAAGACAACAAAGTTTATAAACAGCGACGGTTAATATTGAAGAAGAAAATTAGTCGGCCATTTTATTTAACTCATGCTTGATTGTGGGGAAGCTCGTACAGTTTCCACTCAGCTCCCAAATATGTTAATAATGCGCGCCCAGATATTCGTGATTGTAAATAGTCGTGATTGTAAATAGTCGTGATTGTAAATGTGTTGATTGCAGGTCGGAATGTGGCCCTGAAGCAGTTTGCCAACCAATCAAGTGTCTTCAATGGAGCACAAGGCCAGGCCTCCAACGCCGTGGACGGGTACACCAGCGACAAGATCAATGGCAATTCTTGTGTGGTCACTCGAGAAGAAGCTCCTGCCATATGGAGGCTCTATTTTAGAAGACCACATATAGTCTCCAGGGCTTACGTATATAGCTCAGGTTAGTTCATGTATAGTTCAGGTTAGTTCATGATATAGTTCAGGTTAGTTCATGTATAGTTCAGGTAAGTTCATGTATAGTTTAGGTTAGTTCACTCTCCGTGTGTTACTGTTGTTATAATCCGATAAGTTTAGAATCACGGATCAGGTCAGTGTTTTTCTCCCATCCCCAACCGAACGGCTAAGCCATCCAGGATTGATCACCTTGTCTTCCCTTTGCTCTGAGGCCCCCCTCCCCCAAGGCCTTCTATAAAAAAAGTGCAAAAAATTTCCTGACTTTTGTTGCCATCGCATTCTTGTATCCCAACTGACTTGGTATCGCAGTTGTACTCCCACCGACTGCTTGATAAGGGTGGTGATACTGGTGATAAGGGTGCTGATACTGGTGATAAGGGTGGTGATACTAGTGATAAGGGTGGTGATACTAGTGATAAGGGTGCTGATACTAGTGATAAGGGTGGGATACTGGTGATAAGGGTGGTGATACTGGTGATAAGGGTGCTGATACTAGTGATAAGGGTGCTGATACTGGTGATAAGGGTGCTGATACTGGTGATAAGGGTGCTGATACTAGTGATAAGGGTGGTGATACTAGTGATAAGGGTGCTGATACTAGTGATAAGGGTGCTGATACTAGTGATGGTGCTGATACTGGTGATATACTAGTGATAAGGGTGGTGATACTAGTGATAAGGGTGGTGATACTAGTGATAAGGGTGCTGATACTAGTGATAGGGTGATACTAGTGATATAAGGGTGCTGATACTAGTGATAAGGGTGCTGATACTAGTGATAAGGGTGCTGATACTAGTGATAAGGGTGCTGATACTAGTGATAAGGGTGCTGATACTAGTGATAAGGGTGCTGATACTAATAGGGGGTGGTGATACTGGTGATAAGGGTGGTGATACTGGTGATAAGGGTGCTGATACTGGTGATAAGGTGCTGATACTAGTGATAAGGGTGGTGATACTGGTGATAAGGGTGCTGATACTAGTGATAAGGGTGCTGCTGATAAGGGTGCTAGTGATAAGGGTGCTGGTGATAAGGGTGCTGATACTGGTGATAAGGGTGCTGATACTGGTGATAAGGGTGCTGATACTAGTGGGTGCTGATAATAAGGGTGGTGATACTGGTGATAAAGGGTACTGGTGATAAGGGTGGTGATACTGGTGATAAGGGTGCTGATACTGGTGATAAGGGTGCTGATACTGGTGATAAGGGTGCTGATACTTGGTGATAAGGTGCTGATGATACTGATACTGTGATATACTGGGTGCTGATACTGGTGATAAGGGTGGTGATACTAGTGATAAGGGTGGTGATACTGGTGATAAGGGTGCTGATACTGGTGATAGGGTGGTGATACTGGTGAAGGGTGCTACTGGTGATAAGGGTGGTGATACTGGTGTATACTGGTGATAAGGGTGCTGATACTGGTGATAAGGGGTGGTGATACTGGTGTGATAAGGTGATGATACTGTGCTATGATACTGGTGATAAGGGTGCTGATACTATACTGATAAGGGTGCTGATACTAGTGATAAGGGTGCTGATACTGGTGATAAGGGTGCTGATACTAGTGATAAGGGTGCTGATACTAGTGATAAGGGTGCTGCTGATACTAGTGATAAGGGTGTGGATACTGGTGATAGGTGCTGATAAGGGTGCTGATACTGGTGATAACTAGTGATAAGGGTGCTGATACTAGTGATAAGGGTGCTGATACTAGTGATAAGGGTGCTGATACTAGTGATAAGGGTGGGTGATACTAGTGATAAGGGTGCTGATACTGGTGATAAGGGTGATACTGATGATACTGGTGATAAGGGTGCTGATACTAGTGATAAGGGTGCTGATACTAGTGATAAGGGTGCTGATACTAGTGATAAGGGTGCTGATACTGGTGATAAGGGTGCTGATACTGATAAGGGTGCTGGTGATAAGGGTGCTGATACTGGTGATAAGGGTGCTGATACTAGTGATAAGGGTGCTGATAAGGGTGGTGATAAGGGTAAGGGTGCTGATACTAGTGATAAGGGTGCTGATACTGGTGATAAGGGTGCTGATACTGGTGATAAGGGTGCTGATACTGGTGATAAGGGTGCTGATACTAGTGATAAGGGTGCTGATACTGGTGATAAGGGTGGTGATATTGGTGATAAGGGTGGTGATACTAGTGATAAGGGTGCTGATACTGGTGATAAGGTGTGGATAAGGGTGCTGATACTGTGATAAGTGATAAGGGGTGCTGATACTGGTGATAAGGGTGCTGATACTGTGATAAGGGTGCTGATAAGGATAAGGTGCTGATACTGGTGATAAGGGTGCTGATACTGGTGATAAGGGTGCTGATACTGGTGATAATAACTGGTGATAAGGGTGGTGATACTGGTGATAAGGGTGCTGATACTGGTGATAAGGGTGGTGATACTGGTGATAAGGGTGCTGAGACTGGTGTTAAGGGGGTGATACTGGTGATAAGGGTGCTGATACTAGTGATAAGGGTGTGATACTGGTGTAAGGGTGCTGATACTGGTGATAAGGGTGCTGATACTGGTGATAAGGGTGCTGATACTGGTGATAAGGGTGCTGATACTAGTGATAAGGGTGCTGATACTTGTGATAAGGGTGCTGATACTAGTGATAAGGGTGCTGATACTGGTGATAAGGGTGCTGATACTGGTGATAAGGGTGCTGATACTGGGTGTGATAAGGGTGCTGATACTGATAAGGGTGCTGATAAGGGTGCTGATACTGGTGATAAGGGTGCTGATACTAGTGATAAGGGTGCTGATACTAGTGATGATAAGTGATGCTGATACTAGTGATAAGGGTGTGCTGATACTGGTGATAAGGGTGCTGATACTGGTGATAAGGGTGCTGATACTGGTGATAAGGGTGCTGATACTGGTGATAAGGGTGCTGATACTGGTGATAAGGGTGCTGATACTGGTGATAAGGGTGCTGATACTGGTGATAAGGGTGCTGATACTGGTGATAAGGGTGCTGATACTGGTGATAAGGGTGCTGATACTGGTGATAAGGGTGCTGATACTGGTGATAAGGGTGGGATACTGGTGATAAGGGTGCTGAGACTGGTGTTAAGGGGGTGATACTGGTGATAAGGGTGCTGATACTAGTGATAAGGGTGGTGATACTAGTGATAAGGGTGCTGATACTAGTGATAAGGGTGCTGATACTAGTGATAAGGGTGCTGATACTAGTGATAAGGGTGCTGATACTAGTGATAAGGGTGCTGATACTAGTGATAAGGGTGCTGATACTGGTGATAAGGGTGCTGATACTGGTGATAAGGGTGCTGATACTAGTGATAAGGGTGCTGATACTAGTGATAAGGGTGCTGATACTAGTGATAAGGGTGCTGATACTGGTGATAAGGGTGCTGATAAGGTGCTGATATGCTGATACTGGTGATATAAGGTGCTGATACTGATACTGGTGATAAGGGTGCTGATACTAGTGATAAGGGTGCTGATACTGGTGATAAGGGTGGGATACTGGTGATAAGGGTGCTGATACTGGTGATAAGGGTGGGATACTGGTGATAAGGGTGGGATACTGGTGATAAGGGTGCTGATACTAGTGATAAGGGTGCTGATACTGGTGATAAGGGTGCTGATACTGGTGATGCTGATACTGGTGATAAGGGTGGTGATACTGTTGATAAGGGTGCTAATACTGGTGATAAGGGTGCTGATACTAGTGATAAGGGTGCTGATACTGGTGATAAGGGTGCTGATACTGGTGATAAGGGTGGTGATACTGGTGATAAGGGTGCTGATACTGGTGATAAGGGTGCTGATACTGGTGATGCTGATACTGGTGATAAGGATGCTGATACTGGTGATAAGGGTGGTGATACTGTTGATAAGGGTGCTAATACTGGTGATACTGTTGATAAGGGTGCTAATACTGGTGATAAGGGTGCCGATACTAGTGATAAGGGTGCTGATACTGGTGATAAGGGTGCTGATACTGGTGATAAGGGTGCTGATACTAGTGATAAGGGTGCTGATACTGGTGATAAGGGTGCTGATACTGGTGATAAGGGTGCTGATACTGGTGAGAAGGGTTATGAGCACTGTGTACACGTTGAATAGTACTGGAGACAGCAGAGAACTTTGAGGCAATCCTGGACTGATGGTTATTGGTTTTGAGGACCAACAACCACAACTGAATATCACCCGTCTCCGAAACAGTGCTGCGGCTAGCCAGCGAGTGATGAAAGGAGTTACTTGCAGTTGGAGAAGTATGTGCACCAAGTATTCAACTGGTACTCTGTCGTACGCATTCTCTGTCTAGTGCAGCTGCACATTTCTTTCTAGGAAAAACTTGGCCAAAACAAAGGATTTGCACATAGCCGAGAAGTAGAATCTGTCTTGGGTGAAGACGCAAGTCCTCACTATGGGTCACCATAACCTATACATGATAACTGATCAGCGACTCGGCCGCAAGCAACAAGCCTCTCGGCACAACCCAATGCGTCCTCGCAATTGCGCCACAATTCACCGCCCGACTTCTGTCGATCTTAGTAGCAAAAACAATGTTGGGCCCTCCACGCCTTGTCTCCACAGAATCCGCACAACGGGAGCATTTTGACTCATACACTAAATGATAAAGCACAAGGTGAACTTTCCCTGAACATGATACACATAATCACTGCTAATAATTCTCAGACAACTGAAAATGCGTCTGCACTGTCGGACTGATTGAGAGGCACTGAAATAATTACCAACGACCAACCCTCAGCGTTCCAGACCCCGCATGGTTCTCGCTGAGCACGTGCAAACCACTGTTAACTGTGATTCTCCAAAATCACGTCTTCTACAACTTCGTGCCTAAAATTGGTACACGAATTTACATCATAGGGAAGTTAAGATGGCCGGCGTAATGCTGACCACATTACCCACCTAGTGCCGATTGGTCTGTAAAAATATAAGTGCTCTTCCCATGTGCCCGATGCGCCTAAAGGCGTGA